CCCGGCAGAGCTGGGTGAGGTCGCGGAGGTTATTCCCGGTCCCACGCAGGGCCTGGCGCTCCTCCGGGGTTCGCCGGGACCCCGCGCAGCCCGCCGCCTCCGCCGCCAGTCGCTGCCGGAGAAGCCCCAGGAAGTCGTCCAGGACGTCGTGGGAGAGGCCCGCGGAGAGGACGTGGGCGACGGCCGCGATGCCCCGCATGGGGGCCGCGCGCTGCGCGAAAAGGGTCTCGATGTGGGGGATCGCCATCGCCGCCTCGGCTTCGTCGAAAAAGTGGAAAAGGGGCGTGGCGTCGGCAGGGCCCTGCTGGGGATTCAAGGCCGCGGGGTCGAGGTCGTTCGGGTTGGCCTCGGTGGGGGGTAGGACACTCGCGGAGGCCACCACCCCCAGCAGCGCGCGCTCGAGGTCGAACAACAGCTCCTTCGGCGTCCGCGCCGACGCCTCGCGCTGGGATTGTCGAAGTTGATGTAGAAAAACCCCTTGAATTCGCGAGAGCTGGGCAACGGAGGCGCGATCCAGCGATTGATTCACGCAAATCTGCCTACTCGCACTGTCGTAAATCACAAAGGGTGCCGTAAACCTCTCCTTCAGTACGATCAGTTCGCGTAATTCGGACTCCTCGGGAAGGAGGTTGGGGAGGGATGAACCACTCGCACGGACAGGTGCCTGGGGAATCGCTCTATCCTCCCGCGTTAGACCGTCAACCGCATCCTCAATAGAAAGGGGAGGACTTTCCTTCACAATTTCATCAGGGACCTTTTCCTTCCCCTTTGACGCTGCATCAAGTGGAGGTTCGGCCTTCCGTCGTTGGCCTTTAGACACGGCACGTTCGACCGAGCGCTTGGTGGAACTTTTTTTCGTGGTTCTATACATGTGGCTTTTCTTTCGCCCTATATTTACCTTTATATGGTGTGTATTTTATTCCTCTCACCTTTCTTCACGTATGGCTTACGTAGAAAGTTAGAAATTATAAAATAGACAAAAGAATAATAATACAAAACGCCACCAGTCAAGTCAACTCCTAGTAGATGGGAATAAATAAAACTATGCGTATGCTTCTATAATTTTATAAGCCACTGTGGGTCTTTAAGGGATGTATAAAAAGTGAATGATGACAAAAGAATAAAAAATAGGTATTAGATCCTAAGTGTTTGTCGTCTATTTTAAGGCACAACACACATCTCTAGAATTTGAAGGTAGCCTTTCACACCAATACAACATAAATCTTAAACGTATATTAGACGCACTTACTCCCTTTCTCTATAATTAGCCATGCACGACTACACACTCGTTCGCCTAATTCTCTTAGTGCACCTGATAGGCGTTTAGCTCTGTCATATATGGATCCAATTCTTTGAATAAATCTTTCAAAATCGAAGACCTAAAAAGTTATAAAAAATTAGCAATCTTTAGGATTTTAATTTTTTATGCTTAAAATCGTTTCCATCATCGCCTACGCATCACAGGTACTAATGTAGGGTCTAACTTTCACAGCCAACCTACGAATCAATCGGAATGTTGAACTCAGCAAATTGTTTATATGCCCGTTGTTCCTCCAACTGTTTCTTTCCGGATGCGTTGTACAAGTCCTCCTTTGGACGGAAGCTGTTATCCCTCAAACGCAAATCTAGAAAGGGGAGTTCAGTGAATCAGAACTCCTCAGGAACTTTTTTAAGGTTCAGTTGGCTTTCATCGTACACATCACGGGGTCCTACCGCGCTATACGCCTGCATTGTCGTTTTGTACACGAGGAAGGCTAAGTTTTGAATCGTAAATTACTTTTTATTCAATGATTTCAGCTTTTTAGCGGCGAAATAATAGCTGGCCTGAGAAGGCCGGTGTGCTAGAGGGCTGTATGTCAGGTTGAAGGTTCGCTCTGTGAAACGAAGATGACGTAGCCGACCTTTCATTTCATTAACCCACGGGAGGATGAAAATATGGCAGTACACGGGGACTTCCCATAAGGGTTCTCCCTTCGGATACTCTGTCTTATTTGTCGTTTAACTATCACCAAACAATAAAGCACTATGGTCCTTCTCTCCCCCTGCTTGCGGGGTCTTCTCTTTAGGCCTAAGCAAATCGTCGTGAAGCTCGCCGGAATTCAATTTTTCACCCCCACTTCTCGCGCGGTTATACCAATTCACAGCCCCCCCACACACACGGGCAGGTAAAGGCGCTTCAAATCTCCTTTACGTCCTCTCTGAACGATAGCGAAGAAAAGAAAGATATCTCCACGCTAACGCTATCGTACACAGCAGAATTGATTGCTGCTAGTATCGTGTACAGTCTCATCCTTAGTAACACAGCCAACCTTATATCGGAGATGCCATGCTTTTCAATAATATGTAATAAATTGCATGGGATTAGCCTTTTCTTATGGTTGTTTGGTATTTTATTTTGTTATCACTTTTTGATTCACTTGCTCGGTTAAGGTAAAAGTGAATCAAAAAAAGCTACTGGAACGAGACTCATCTTTTTTGAAAATCCTATTAAGTCCTGAAATGAATGTAAATACTGTTAAACATGAGGCAGGAAAAAAAACACTAAAAGGAAAATGAAAATAGATAAAGAGAGAGTAAATTAGAGCTGGATTCTTGTAATTTTATCATTTTACTCATATTTAGCATAAAAAATACGCATTCTACTTATTATACTCACAATAACTTTTGACGAACAAAAACTAGAATACAAATGCTGCGCTTGAAATGCTATATTATTACTACATTGATGAACAATTTATGAAAAAATGGGAAATAAGAAATACAAGTGGTAAAAAATGTGAAGTTGCTGTTTATAGTGTGAAAGTCATCCCTATCCATCACATCCCCTTTATAATATATCGTATCCACTGTAGAAAGAGTGAAATAAATTATAAAAAAGGATATAAATATTTTAAAAAGGTATAAGGTTTGATTGCACACGTAGATACTTCTTTTGAAGTTGTAAAATATGCTCTCAACCTGAAGTTATAGTGGTATGCACAATTATCCTTACCTTCATCATCTCTATTTTTTGATATTGTGGTGTGCTACATGAGGGATAGGGAATCTTGCAAAAGGAGACCGAAAATGCATCCTATTTTTTTTTCTTTTATACAACGCTACTTTATGATTCAGTTAAATTGCATATATATATATATATATGCATATTTAGTGATCTACAAACCACGAGATTAAAGAAGATTAGTTTCATGCTTTTGAATATGTGAAAAAAACGATCCCCTGGATATGTAATTTTGAACAATCAAAATACCAAGCTATTAATTCAGCGTCGTTGTTTCTATGTCCTAGAATAACTATTCCTTTCGGAATTGAACAAATAAAATGAGGTGTACTTTTCTTTTAAAAAGTGATTCAACAGCATAATCTATCTTTTCATATGAATTGCAGATTGATTGAACAACCAATATATATATATATATATATATATATATATATCAGTTTAATTTACCTTTATTTATAAAAATACTAATACTAAAAGAATTCTAAAAACTGACTTACTACAAAGTAAGGCACATTAATTGTTACAGTTTTATTTCTAACTTTTCGACACAATCCTTATTTTCTTCTATAAACACAGTTGATAAAATGATAAATGCATTTTATAAATTGCATAGCCTAAGATTATTTGCATCTGTGAGGCTGAAAGTGATGTTATTATATCATACAACAAAAACCAAAAACAGTTAAACATAAACCCAGTTTATCTCATACAGTTCTAAATGAATTTTGGGAGATTAAACAAAAAAAATTAAAACATGGCATAGCATACTTTTGAATAAAAAACTATATTTCTCTTATTATGTGATTGTGCTTTTAAAGGAAAAAGTAAAAATATTTACTATCTCCTCTTTTTCCCACCATCCTTTTTTTTTGCATCGGCGTAACACACAACTAATGGTTTGATGAAAATGATAGTGTGATCTCAAGCAAACTATAAGCTGAATCGATTTATAATCATTGCAAGGAAATACAAGGAAAGGGAATAGCACAATCCTCTATGAACCGACCCATGTGTTTCGAATATGCAAGAGCCTCGAAGAGAAAAAATAACGAAAATAAAAATAATTCAAAATGATTAAGGTAGTTGGCTGCATAAAGTTGAGGAAGTGAAAATATAACTATACACGCATGACATGAAATTAATATATGAAAAGTGTAAAGTTAGATTATTTTATTTGGAGACCCCCAAAATAAGCAAATGTGTATCAATTTATATTAGATGCATTCACAAATATCTGGTGGAAAACTATAATTCGAGAAGAAAATTGGCCTTATGAACTACTCTTACAGAATTTCTAGAAAGAATTCGAAGATACAAAGGAAGAGCTTTTACTTTTCCTATGCATTCAAAACGCTTTGAATACCGTGCCTGAATACAAACAAACAAACACCCATATAATGTATTAATATAGTGGTCTAACAGCAACGGCTTCTGAAACGATACAAATAAATAAAAAAGAGAAGATTCCCATGGTATTACCAGTGTTCTGTGAACAACTGAAAGTGTAAGAAAAAAAGTAGAGGAGGGGAATAAGGTGGGAACCATGTTTACAATCCCTTTATATAAATATAGT